GCAGTTCCTTTACCCTTATCGCATTTTATCCTCTATAAATAAGGCTAAAAACGTGATTTAATGGCCTATATGTTATGCTAGACTATTTATAATAATCTGTAATTTATTTAACCGAGTCATGCTGTCATATATAAATATATATACAGCTGTGTTAAAAACATCTTTCTTTATCTATCCTCAACCTCGGGCTCGAACCCAGGAGGTACTGGAGAGTGGCACGCACACTATCGGCTACAGTATTGTATACCAGTGAAAATGATATTTTAGGAATAATATAATGCTGAATTATGTCTTACAACCTCAAAAATTAATAAAGTGGCCTTGGTAATCGTTTCAGAATCATAAATAGAACAATCAGCTATTACTGAACAAACCCTTGATATAATTCCAACAAAGGGAGCTCAAGTCAAACCCAAAGGTGTTTTACCGCTATGCAAAGTTGAAATTAAAAACGGGAGTAGGAGTATCAGACCTGAGGCTTGAAGATGGTAGTTAGAAGATTCTGACCAGGATAAAGTTGAGGCATTAAACAGCTTCTTTTCCTCGGTGTTCACAAGAGAGGATGCGATTAACTTTTTGTTTTTTACTGGGCATCCCCCTACATCCTTGCGTAAGGTGAAGTGCAGAAGTGTTTAAAGCGCCCAACAGGGAAGCGTGCTAAGTTCATGCTTGCCTTTATATCTCATGAGTTAAGGGCGTAGAAGCCTGAAGAGTCAAGGGCATAGAAACCTGAAAAGTCAATGGTTTATGTCTAAGCAAGTTATTGGAGCTCCAACAACTTTCCCTGAATACCAATTCGCAACTTTCGATTTACAGCAGATACCTACTTTGCTGCTAGGTGAACAGGGACCAAGGGAGATTACCTTCCTGTGTTTGAGGAAAGATGGTTCATCACAGCACTGACCCCACACTGTGTTCACAGAAGAGGGTATTGGAAATAAACTGTCAAAGCTAAAGGTCCATAAGATTCCCGTCCCTGACATGGTGCATCCTAGAGTGCTAAGAGAATTGTGCAACGAGCTTGCCGAGCCCCTGAAGATCCTGTTTTGTAAACGTCTGGATGAACTAAAGGTCCCCGGTGAATGGAAAGTGTCTTGTGTGAGTCTTATCTAGAAGGGCGATCGTCACTTCACGAACAACTATAGACTGGTGAGCCTGACCAGCATAATATGGAAATTACTCGAGTAGTATCAGAGATGCCGCGATGGAACATCTACTACGAAACAACCTTGTAAAGGATGCCAACACGGTTTTATGCCGGAGTGCTCCTGCTTAACACAATTGCTTAAGGTATTGGATATTTGGACCCATATTCTGGTAATATCAACAATATTTACCTAGATTTTGCCAAGCTATCGACTGTGTACCCCAAGAAAGGCTGAAAATCAAACTGGAAGAGTTCGGAATTCGTGGAAATGTCCTATCGTGGATAGAAGACTTTTTACATGACCGCAAGCAGTGTGTGGTGATTAATGGCACGAAATCATCATCTGTACCTGTCACAAGCGGGGTACCACAGGGCAGTGTATTGAGCCCACTGTTGTTTGTTTGTTTCATAAATGACATGCCTGACGTTGTACACTCCTCCATACAAATGTTTGCCAATGATGCCAAGTTATTTCGGGAAATCATGATCCAAGCAGACTGTGAAGAGCTGCAGAAGGACCTCTGTGGGCTCCAAGAATGGTCGCAGAAATGGCTGCCGAGATTCAATGTCACGAAGTGTAAGAGGATGCACCTGGGGCGTACCAACGGTAAGGAGGCGTATCATATGCCCCAACGGGATGAAGAAACTGCACTATTTGCGACAATGTGAGAAGGACCTAGGTGTGTATGTTGACAATGAGCCGAAGTTCTCGGACCATTGCGAGAAGAAAGTAAATCAGGCAAATAAATTATTGGGTCTTATAAGAAGGTCGTTCAGATATCTAGACGGTCCGTCCCTCGTAACGATCTTCAAGAGTGAAGTGTTTCCCCATCTGGAGTATTGTCGCCCCGTTTGGTCCCCGAGATATAATAGGAACTGTCAGTTGTTTGAAAATGTTCAAAGGAGGGCCACCAGACTGGTGCCTGCCCTTCGGCACCTCAGCTACCCTGAGAGATTGGAGCGCCTGAACTTGCCTAACTTATACTACAGACGGGCAAGGGGTGACCTAATTGAGGTGTATAAGCATCTCAAGGGGCACTACTCAGTCGAGAGGTCCTTACTTGGAGCTGGCGGACGCTAGCCCCACAAGGGGTCACAGCTCAAGATTGAAGAAGCCGCAATTCCAGAAAACTGTAAGGGCAAACTTTTTCAGAGTGAGAGTTGTGAACTCTTAGAACAATCTACCAGAGAGTGTTGACAGCACCGAGTGTGAGCTCTTTCAAGACAAGACTTGACCAACACTGGAGCAGGTTCAGGTACATTCAGGAGCCGGTGCATGCCCAGTACTTGCCAACAGTGCGTAACAGACGTGACCGATCGCCCAAGCGGCTAACGAGGCAAACTTTTGGTGAAGAGGATAAAAGAAAAGGAAAAGTAGTCAGAGGCGTGACCAATCGCCCAACCGGCTAACGAGCCGATCAGTGGTGAAGAGGATAAAAGTAAAAAAGCACAAGGGTGATGGTGACGCCCGCGCCTTGCACACTAATGCAATCTGTTGATCCCGCAGCCAACTATATACTGTACTACAGTATGTGGCTTATGCTGTTTTTTCCTTCCTTTCCTGTCTTTCTTATTATAGTCTGGTTTACATGAAGACATTAACCATGAGTGGGCATCACCATCACCATTGTACAGTATGCACACGTACAAAAACAGATCACCCTGAGCATGTGTTTAGCGTTTTCATGTTGCTCTATATCATTGATCATATAGAAATTAATGTGTGTGTGTGTGTGTCCATGTGTACACATGCATACACACATACAGTATCACACAGTAAATTCTATATGATCAATAATATATAGCAACGTGAAAACGTTAAGCACAAGCTCAGGGTGATCTGTTTTTGTACGTGTATCAATGCCATAACTGAAAAAATTACCCAGCGGTATTACTGGAAGGGTGTAAAAGAAGAAGTCAAAGATTATGTAAGCCCTATTATCTTATTTTAATACATTTTTACACTGCAATAGATGTTCTTATTAAACTTCAAATATAAAATTATAACAGGTAAAAAAATTTAAAGATGAATTGCAGCACTTCTTCAGGACACCCCCAAATGACAAGCGCTATTATCTTGCTACATGCACGGACCTCAAACATTTGCAAGTATGAGTGTATTCACACTATGATAAACAAAATAAACAAAGTTAGAAAATTATTTGATGAAGTACTGTACATGTGAAAAATTAAATTAAAAACTGCAAAATTGGCTGAATCAGTATATATACCCCCTGTACATCAAATGCCCAACTTCAACACGATTTCTGACAACTACGATTTAGACCTCCTCATTAAAGACATTGTTTAAAACTTTAACATAAGAATGGAGAAAACCACATATACAGGGTGGTCCCATTTACACCCAACCCCTATTGCTCATATATCCATGCTGTGACGTCCTCAACAGCGCATGCACATTTATCTTTTTGGCTACTTCTGGTCCGGGTGTAGCAATTAAGTGAAGTCTAGGTAAAAATCAAAGACTATTATTCATTTGAGCATGACTAGTAATTTTTTAAGCTTTTTTGTTTTTCATAAGTGATTTTATTATGAATATTTTCCAGTAATTTGATCTTATCGATTTTTATTTTTATTATGAGTTACAGTAATACCGAATTGATTTGAATTTATGAGAGCATTTTGACGTACCATTATTCATAATTTGTATTTTAGAGTACTTTCATTGCTGATTTCTTTTATTGAATTACCCATCATTTTACTTCAAATGATTTTTTTTGTATTTCGTGATCCATATTTGATATTTTTTATGTTTGTTTTCAACAATTTCTAGTTTTCGTTTCTTAAATACTAAGAGTATTTTAACATTATTTTGACATTTACTAGAATTTATTTTTTTTGCATTTGTGATGTCTAGCAAATTAGTTTGATGTGCAAATATTGCAAAACATAATTTGTGTTGTCAATTTGATATGCTATTTAATTTTAGATATTCCTAGCTAGGATTAGGAATGAAAATTTGTAAAATATTTTGTAAACATCTCATAAATTTTCATATAAGCAACCAGGGGGTGTATTGTAACAGTACGAGTCCCCCCCCCCCAGAATCTTCCTGCCAATGAAAGACTTAGGCCTGCCGGGACCAATGAGGAAGTATGTCATGAAAGTTGTGGCATCTCTTTGTGGGTTGAGGTAGTTTGAAAAGAGGAGTCTGTGTTTGGAAAGAGTAAAGTGTAGACGTGTAGGTGTCAGCTCCTCATGGCGGCTATTATGCAAGTACATAATTATTAGGTTGATCCATTTCCTGAAATGTATTGTGAGGCAGATGACCCTGGTCAACTAGCTAGGAAGATAGGTTATTGTTTGAAGTGTAACTGTTCAATTTGAATTACGTCATAAATAAATGAAGAACCGTTAGAGGTAGTTCTAAATTCCCTGTGAATTGACTACACCATTGTCATGCATGTCTGTGGTATTATGCAGTGATAGTGAATTCTAAATGGTAAGTATTTAAAATTTCCCCTCTGAATGTGTTGTATCTTTGTCTCCAGCTATCCTCCTCAGTTATACACCCCCTAAGCTTCCTCTACATCCTCTGACAAAATTTGCTTCACCAGTTTAATCAGGATCTCATTGCTTAATTCTTAGTACGAGACTAAATTAACTGCGTGACATCATCCTCATAAATATCAAACTGGAGTTGGTGCCCAAGGTCGACCACTGCCTGTCACTTCCCCAACATTATATACATAAAAAACAGGAATTATATAGATTTAGAAAAGTGCTTGGTGCAATGGCAAATTGGATTGAATGGTGCAGCCCAGGTCCTGTTGATGCCATTAAATCAAGGTTCAACCTGGATTACTTAAGATTTTGTTTTGTAATACAGTACTGTACTTTAATTTTTTTATTTTTACCAATACAGCACATTTTCCCTTTAAATAGATGATACTTACAGTTCTGACGAAAACACACTGTATATATAAGGGAATGTGAAAATCAAGCAAATTTTTTTTGATGGCGTGAAAATTCCACACATTATTTTGTGGTGGCTAACAGCTCACATATTACCACAGGATAATGATAATCACTTTCTGGGCTAAGAAAAATAATTTCATATACTGTATATACTACATACTGTGTGTATATATATACACATATATATATAAATATATATATACACAATTAAATCCTCACTTGCATACTATGTAGTCCACGTACAAACAACATTCTTTCAAAACTGATGTCTTTGGTCAATGAGGGTAAATTTATTTTAATAACAAAGTAAAATAAAAAATAAAATAAAAAAGTTGCAGCAGCTTACAGGCCCCCAAACTGCAAAAGTATGATAAATATCAATCATACAATGTATTAAAAAATTACAATTAGACACATCACAATTAAACTCAACAATGCTCACTTATATCATACATTTTTAAAATACTGTACATAAATCATGTAGAAAAAATTACAAATGATTAAATCTTCAATTAACCATATGAAGACACTCCAGTACCTAGACTCTTCATGAGCGTGTAACAATCTTGAAGTCTTCTTTTATCCCCTATTTTTTCGAGTGTTTTTGCTGCTTCTGTCAGCATTCCCGCACGTTCACCAGGAGAAGAGAGTAGAGGAGAAGGAAGGTGCCTACAGGCCAACATCAGTGCTGTGGCATGTTCTCGTTCACCTGACAAACTCCCCAGTTTCTTATCTGATTGAAAAAAAAAAGAAAAAAGAAAATAACATTTCCATAAAAACATATTGTATTCTCATTTACAGTACATGTACTTAGAAAAATTATACAGAAAAAATTACAATAATGAAATAAATATAACAGCATGAAGAAAAACTGGGGAAAAAATGTGGGAAGTATGTGAAGCTCAAACAATTAAAAGCAAATATCTTGCTTATCTTGGTGGCATGGAAGCCCCAGCTGAAAATTTCAATTTGTCAAAGGGGCACAACTGTCAAAACACATGAATTTAGTGACATATCACCAAATTCATGTCACTGACCTGAATATTCATTAAAATATTAATATGGATACAAAATTCATGTTGTGGACAAGATTTTGGGGCCACTACCTTTAGGGGGGACATAAGCTTTTGAAAACTGGTATTCTGCACACTAACCTAGTGACGATACATATTCATCTGTTTCATCTAAATATCTCTTAGAATCAAAATTATCCTCTAGACATTATATAAACTTTTTACCTCCCTGTGTCCTTTGACTAGTAATTTACTAATTATATCTCACCAAAACAAAGGTTACTGTTAGGAAAATCTTTGTAATTTTAATCATCAAGAGTGATCTTGAATTCTGGCATTCTATGTTCCACACTTAGTTTAGTGATATTAACACGAAGTTTCATCAAAATATCTAGACACTGATGCTAGCGTAACACTTGGCAAGGCTTTGACCTCTGAACTTTATCTTTGTCCTTTTTAAAAAAATACGGTGACGCATTATATCCTTGTGAAGTTTTTAAAAATATTTGAGTCAATACAACAGTTTTGCTTACAGACTAAGCTCTCGGCTTTCACCTTCACCTTATGTCACTGACTTTAATCAAACCATAACATCCAGACAATATGTACAATACTTTGTCCAACATAGTTAAGCCATCTGAAACTGCAGGATTATTTTCATCAAAAAACATTTCAGGATGTATGGATATATTGGGGACACACCATGCAACTCCTCAAAGTGGTCTAAAAATAATCAAGGGGTGAAAAATGATGGTAGAGGAACATACATGATGGATCTAAACAAGAGACACACCGAATTCTATTACTGTTCTGATCAACTAGCACAATTTACCGAGTGCTGTATTTGACTACAGATATACAGGTATCCCCCCCCCCCCATTTATGATCGGGTTAGGTTCTCGGAGAAAAAATATATAAAAAATTGTAGGTCAAAATATCACAGAGTGGGAGTATTATAGCATAGAGCTCAATGGGATACCCGGTAGGTTCCTGGCCAGACGGACACCCACAGGGAGGGGGATCCTAGAATATTACTAACGCTACAAAACAATTAGACAGCACTTCCCATATCATTAAGAACACTGCTCACTTCAGTCACACACAAAAAAAAAAAAAAAAAAAAAAAAATAGTGGGTGCATTTTAGTAAAAAAAAAAAAGCTAATCATTTCCAAGTGATATATATATATATATATATATATATATATATATATATATATATATATATATATATATATATATATATATATATATATATATATATATATATATATATATATATATATATATATATATATAGACAAAACCACACAGGAAAAGGGAAACAATGGAGTACTAGGTATACTATACAGCACAGTACCAAGCTCTGTTCCATGGTGATCCGACAAGGCCAAAATCATGTAATTTAACAATTATTGGTCAGTATCAAAGTTGTTTCTTTTTTCCTTTTTTACAGTAGTAAAACTATGTACCATGGTGAAGGTACATGGCCCCAATTATGCAATCAGTGATTATCAGTCAGTATTGGGGTTGTTACTCATCTTTCTTTTTTTACCTTAGTGACAGGACATCACTTAAGTTCACATTGTACTCTGTTTTGGTGACAGTGAAGTGAATTTTGCCGTGTTTTTTTTTGTGACTGTAAAGTGCTTTTGCCAGACCATGACCATCACTCATGCGGATTGTTTACGTCATAGATAGGGGGGTGGTCTTAATACATCACCATTTTTAAAGCGGAATATTGTAAGTAAGGAAATCGTAGATTGGGGGATACCTGTATAGTACTGATCAATTACAATTATTTACAGATGTGGCATGAGCATGATTGCCAAATACATTGGACATTGGGTTTGAGATGGCAGTCAGCCAGCACCTGTGAAGGCAAGATGGGGAGATTATATAGAAAACATATTAAAGGAGGCTGTGAGGTAAATGTACACAAATTATGTATGTTTTAATGGGCGAAGTCTAATACTGTAATAACTACTTTTATACTCACTCGAGTGAATTAAAAAAATTAAGTATCCATGATAAAACAAGGTACACTTATCCCCTCCCCCTATTTGCAATTTCACTTATTCACAAAAAATAAGTAGTGACCCTTCATACAAGATTCGCAAACAAAATTCAGCTATCCACAAGGCTGTTAGAAATTTTGACCTACCAATGGCAGATGTGCATCTCTCGTACACATTCCCTGGTTAGTCAGTTCTTTCGTGTGCCACACCAACCTCCCCCTACTGTATACAGTAGTTTCATATTGCATTTTCTTCGCCACATTCAGGGGCGTATCTGGGAAGGAAGGAAGGAAGGAAGGAAGGAAGGAAGGAAGGAAGGAAGGAAGGAAGGAAGGAAGAGAGAGAGAGAGGCAAGCCCCACCAGAATTTTCTTTTTAAATCTGACCAATATCATTGTCATTTTGAAGCTATATGCACTTGATATTAGGAAATATTCTGGTCAATAATAATTACTTTTTACGATACAAAAATGCTTGAGTACAAGACTGTATTAAAGAAAAGTATTGGAATTTTATGATGAAAAGGGGGGGATCCGGACCCTTCCCCCTGGATCTGCCGCTGACATTTAGAGGAGAGTAATTGTAATTTTTACTCATTTGCTCTGTATTAAAGAAAACAGTTTTACTATGATAGAGTATAATATCCTACATGACATACAAGTAATTTATGTGTTTATTTACACACTCAGACTTGAATTATACGTAGAGAAAAATATTTTTTTTTCAAATTTATTAATTTGTATTACAAAAACTCACTCCTTATAAACACCACCACCATCCCTGAAGCTCACTCCTTATAAACACCACCACCATCCCTGAAGCATTTATCATTTCTAACCCAAAATGTTAGGAAAAAAATTATAATCTTGGTAGTCATGGTACCATACCCCATTTTTCCCCGAGGTATTAAATTCAATATCTGCAAATTTACGATTCTTGACGATTTCCAAGACTATAACCCTCACGAATACAGGGGATAAGTATACCTATCTTCACTTGAATGTGCGTGCGTGCGCACACACACACACATATTACAATAGAATTACTAACCCTTTCCACATATTACAGAAGGCTTGTTAGATCTGTGCCTAAGAGACCTGTCCAGTAACTGCTGTGTTCTAGCTGGTGAGGCTCCAGCCATCATCCGCAGAGTTGCTTCATGCAAGAAGACACGCGTCAGTACACCCTGTTACCATAAAAAATATGTTTAGCCATCATCACAAAGATGCCGAAGACTTCACAAAAACATCCCTGTCAATTTTACATGCATTCATTACTTCCATTAACAGCATAAAATTATAACTATTCTGCCAATCCAATTTGCATGACAAACAAGTTACTGTAGGTCTCGGTATGCATCTCACGGGTATGTGCTGAACGAGTTTCCGTAGCAAAGCCAAATCGTGCTGGAAACCTTGAAGGACATGAGCCGGGGCCACAGTAATAGTGTCACAGTCAGCAGCAGACTCTCCCTCCCACACCACAGTTCGCACACCAAGGAGCCAGTCCACAACTATCAGCTGTACACTCTGAAAGCAAAATTTCAATGTCAGTAATTATTGGAAAACCCTCAATAGAAGGGTAAGGGCACAAGTCTATTAAGAATGAAACTGATTTACAACGCTTCTCATTTTAAAATAGAAATTAATCCGTAAAACATTTCAAAGTTTCCCCCCAAAAATTTAGGGGTCGACAAAAACTTGTAAGAAACAAATAAACCTGTATATAAATACTCCTAATGGTAATAACATTCTTGCTCAATGGTCTTTATGTTAATACAAGGTTGAATTTGAATGGAATGAAGATTTAGCTCTAACCAGTGTCATTAAAATTGGGACCCATAAGCCCCAATGTCAACTGAAAGGATGTTCCACCAACAATTAATGCAACTGACAGTGTGTTCATTTATATATGAATTATTGTACTTGGTATATAAATTAAAGGGAACCAGATGAATTTTTTTTTTTTTTTTTTACAAAGCTATCAGCAAATCTGTGGCAATTTCATAAAGGACAATTAATTTTAAAAGCGTGGTTCCCGGTAAAAACAAATTGCTCAGGAGTCACATTTAAAACTTAAAACACCAATAATCAGCCTCTTTGCATTTCCTCTCAGTACACCAATCAGTGGTCATGAACTCTGTGACTAGAAGTCAATCAGGGTGCATCTAGTGGGGATGATCTGTTTACATACCATGTTTGAACACTTGTCATTATTAAAAATGTAGTTTAACACTCTTGTGTATTTCAGATGCTGTATGCAGGGCAACAAAAATCAGGTACACTCAAACATTTTGGATGGTGCAGGTGTCCCAGTTTCCAATTTTTTCCCCCAATTATTCAGTATGTGCATTGTTGATGTCTTTGACACAAACATTTGAACTGAACAGGTAGGTTAGGGGCAGAGTTTTGCTTCCTGAGCCACAGTGTAGGACAAAGGTGGTAGCAGCCTGGACACATGAGGGTTTATCATGGTACCTTTGCTTTTACATTATATTCCTATTCTCTTTGCTGGTTTCGTGTTCTCATTGAATTTTTTTTATTCATATGTAGGGTATATAATTACCATAATTTTTAAGGTATGCTTTCTTTTACTATATAATACAGTATATAATTGTCATAAAACATCAGTTTTACCCAAACAGTACAGTACCTGTATACCAATTTCCCAACTCTTGGTAATATGAAAAAATGCCAAATTCAGAAGATAACAGGTAACAACAAAGGGGAGAAGGTGAGTGAATATATGTATTTTCTGTACGTCTTGTGGTTTCAACTCAAAATGAGACTAGCCCTTTTTTTCTTCTCTATTCTTACCTTTATGGAAGAGATTAACTAACCAAAGCAACAAACTACCAGATGTTGTTCTACATTTATAACTAAAGGACTAAAAAGCAGAAAACAGATGCTTCTCACATCTTCCACCGCGCCACCCTCGCTTGCCTACGGAACCTGTGTTTGTTTAAAAAATATATACATACAGTCTCTCCTTGACTTACAACGGGGTTCCGTCCCGACGACCAGGTCGTAAGTCGACAAGGCGAAAATAATACCAAGAAATTCTAAAATGGGTGTCTCTTTTTCTTCTCAGCACCACGAAAACTCACTGTTACGCTTGCCAGCCATTTTAAAGGGAATTACAAACGAAAATTTTGTCGGTACACAGCGCGATCACTAACGTTAGGATTCGAAAATACGTAATGCGAAAAATATTTTATACGACCATGGCCGTCGTATGTCCGGGTTGTCTTAAGTTGAGTTGGAACTGTATGTATACTGTATATATACATGAGCATTCACCCCCCATGCTCAAAAGTCTTAACCCAGTTGTGTAATATTTTGTGTAAAATTTGTGGTCCACTAATAAGTGGACCACAAGGACAAGATAAGGGATGGGTGCACCACATCTTAAGAGTGATGTATACATATGGTGGCATTGTATCAATGAAAAGGCCTAGTTTTTGTTTAGATTTGTGTAGTATTAGAGTACGCTCATGTCAGCATTATAAATTTGTACTTGCTAAGGAGAATTTAAATAAAAAGGATGCCTAACAACCATAATATCTACAGATCATGAAATACAAACAAACTAATGCTGCACTACAGCTATAAAATTACAGGTGTATTGGTGGGTACCTGTACTGTATTAATATAAATTTTATACACTGCTGACAAAAAATTATTACAATACTGTTTTAGACACTACTGTACTGTCAAAAAGTAATACAATACTGTACTGTACTAACATTTAAGATCTTGCTGAAAATACAGTAAAGTATATCAAATTATCGGCAGGTCTCCAATCTCTCATTCTTATCAAAGATCATAAGAGTGTGCTATGATGGATCAGTTACTTCCTCTGTTAGAGAAATTTTGTGATCCTCTGGTCCAGTCAGCCTACAGGAAGCACCATTCAATTGAAACTGCCTTATGTAAAATTCATAAAAAATTGGTAATAAGCACTTGCACAGAAAGTCCTCCCTCCTGATCTTATTGGATCTCTCTGCAGCCTTTGTTGTGTCATGATCTTTGGTTGTTCAGTGTCCATGATGATGCACTTTCACTGCTCGAGTCTTTTATGTCAGAGCAATCTCAGTGTGAGGGTAGGTGGAACCATTTCAGACCCGGTCCCTTTGCAGTTTGGAGTCACAAAGGAATCAGTTATGGTACCACTTCTGTTTACAGTCAATACTAATAGTCTTGCATCTCTGCTGGATGCTCATGGTGTTGCTTACCATTTCAGTGCTGATGATACACAGCTATATGTGCAAATGATAAATGTTGAGGAAATAATGAAATCATTTATGTCTTAATATTAACATTTGGATAGCTAGGAGAAAACTTAAGCTGAATGATGACACCGAGATTATGGTCATCCAAGGAAATAGGAAGGTGAAAGAATAGATGATTTTGGCTCTTTAAACTTTGGGGAAGTACAACTCAAGTCCTGCCAATTCTGTTCATCATTTTGGAGCATACTTTGACTCAAAACTGAATTTTAAAGAGCATATAAAATCGGTGTTTTAAAAGTTGCAACTTTCTTATTTGAAAACTCTATGCTGTGAAAGTTTTTGGATAGAGTTTCTTGACACTATTTCATTAATTTATTTTGTCTTGGGTGACTACTGAAACTCTTTATGCATCTGCTTACCTAATTTATTAAGTTCAGATTGTTGAACAGGGTTGCCAGGCTTATTTTTGCTCTCCCACCAAGGACAACCACTACTCCATTCTTGATTGAATTGCACTGGCTTCCAATTAAAGCTGGGATAGAGTTCAAACTCTGCCTAATTACTTTTTAGGCAATTATATTTCATGATCCTAATTATTTGTCCAACCCACTAAATCCTCTGACCACAAGTTCTAAAATGATTTTGTGTAGTAGAGATGATTCCTCATGCCTTAAGGAGCCTAGAACAATGCAGGAACGTTCTTTTGCTGCATCCGTGTAACAGTCGACTTCTGTGGAAGCCTTTATTTAACCCTTAAAGAGCAGCACACATCATACAATGTTTGAGAGAAAAACGCGTAAAGTTCGGAGGATATCATATGATGATTATGTTTTTCGCGCCATTGTTTGGTTGCAGCCGTGGCTGTGTTGTTGTCTGGTTACTATGATGATGCTGACAGATCAGTCCAGACCTGGAAACACATGTACTCCCAGTTAAACTTGTGATTTCTCCAAGAAATTATTATTTCTTGTATTTATTGACTAAATATGAATTTCTAGAAAAAATATTGAGCTTTATCAGGATAAAAAAAAAAAAAAAGGCACATTCTACAAACAACATTATCTCGAGATTGGTTCTGTTTTCTATGAAGCGAAATATACCCCGTCCTGGGCGGACAGCAAATGTAAATATACCTGCCCTTTAAGGGTTAAGAAACCACATAAGACCTTTCTTTTTCTGAAAGCTTATGACCCTGAAGAGGGTACAGTGATGTAGAATTACAGGTTAGGTTTAGGAAGTGTAACAACTTAAGGACATACAAACTCACTTTTTTGTAGTATTTTCCTTTTTTTATTCTCAGGTCCTTGACTAGCTATTATTATCATTGCAAATTAAAATTTAGACGACATAAGTTATACAAGTCAAATCTTCGTGACTTTATCTAAGGTTCTGTAAGTTTTCCCTGTTAAGCAATTGTCTAATAACGAAAGCATTCAAACATCATTGATTATATCACTCATCAATCAATTTTGTACACTTAAGACAAAATACAGACATTATATTTGATTACAGTAGACCCTAGCCATTAGTGATTTAGACGATTCAGTGGTGTCTGACAACTTTCTGAGCTATGATGCAAAGCCAGAAGACTAATCAGTCTTAGCATCAGTTTCAGAGAAGCAACTTTCTGTTAACCTCACATATCAACATGAGATATACCTGTACAGGTATATATGATTGGCAGTGTTGTACGTTGACGCCGTTAATTTAACGCAGTCAATGGACGGCGGCAACTTTTTGTTAACGCTGACGCCATTTTTTTGGGAAGGTGACGCAGTCAACTTTTCACCCGAGCGGAGCGTCAAGCATCAATTTGTTCGTCAACTTCTAAAATTTTAGATTTTTCCAAGTTCAATTTTCAATTATCTTGTTATAAAGACAACCGACAAGGCCATGAGGGAGTTGCTAATCAAATACAACACTCCCATCCCCTCTAGTGCTGCCGCGGAGCACATGTTCTTCATGGGCAACGACGTCTTGAGGCCCAAGCGCAGCAAAATGAGCGACAAGCATTTTGATATGCTAGTATTCTTGCGGGGGAACAAATGAATAATTAAAATAATATAATATAAATCATAATAAATGATTAAAAATTAATATTTTTTGATTTTGCATATGTTACTCCCACACACAGGAGAATACGCATTTTGGGGCTGCATTTGTACGTCACTGAAAATTCGCTGATGCTAGGTGTTGACGCTGACGGCATCAAATTTCTCGGCCGTTTACGCTGATGGCGCCACTTTTTTTTCGTTGACAAGTACAACACTGATGATTGGATAATGTGGAGAAACACGTACACAGCTATGTAGCATACTTCAACTCCACCAACAAAGTTCGAATCTGGCATTCAGCATGAGACCGACATTATCTAATAAGCAAGTCCTATGCACGTACCTTGTACACCTGGGCCCATCCTTACTTACATATGAGATAGAGGGTAAGTTTCTCATCCTGTTTTAAATATCAATATCTTTAACTAAGCCATGTAATATCATGTCACCAGTAGTAATAATTCACCATTTGAGTTTTCTTAGTTGCTCAGTCACTCCACATATACCATGAAGAACTCTTATCACAATGCCCACCTAGCAGTGACATAGGAAGATACAGATGCAATTGTGAAGGAAAGTGGTAATATAGAGGAAAGCAGTAAAACCCTCTTAATCCAGACTAATTGGGGGTAAATCCAGTCCATATTGAGCAAATTTCTGGATAAAGCGATTTCCGGGGGGGGGGTATTTAATCTGGAAAAGATCTGGATTAACCGAGAAAAATCAGGATGGCAATCCGGATTGTTGTCTGGTGCACACGAACACCAGCTCAAACTCCTTTGGTTTGTTTACGAACCAGTCACACTGCTACAGTCATGGTATGTGCATCTCTCAATGTAATGACCACGGTCATACACGTCAGTTAACGCCAAAATCAGACGATTCGTATTACGCTCAATAGCCCACAAAACATGTAGCTCTGCCTTCGTTTGAGTCCCCCATCTGAGGAGTCCGTTTTCTCATCACTTCAGGATGCCGAAGTCCTCCGTTTTCCCTCAATCTTGAATGTACCCGAGACTTCATTATTCCTTAGGAATGACAGATTTTGAAATTGCAACTGTGGTTGCAATTGGTGGGCAACCTAGATATGTCTGTTTACAGTTGGAACATTCAAGATCCATTGTGAGTGGTGTTGAAAGCTTCAACTGTCCTTATTGTTAGTAAAACTTGTCAAGTAAGTGAGTGTCGAGTTTGCCAGCTAGTGGCATATTTTATGTCGTCCGTGGGGTTATCCTGGATTTACGATAGCTACTGAAGTCATATTGTTTTGTTGCCCAAACATCAGAGAATCTGATGTTTGTAATTTAGAGTTTGTCAGTTGTCTATTTAAGAAAGTCATTAATCTCCTGAACTTTTCTGTCAAACTCAAAAATCTCCAAGACTTAAAGGCTGTTTTGACCTGGTATGTGGTCTGCGGTCAGGCAAGTAGAGTTGTTAGTGCATATAAAACTCTATTTCACCTCTTTCCTGACAAACTCAATCTCTGATTAGATCATACAGATAGACGTAGAAAATTAGCCTGATCTGTGACACTGACGGTCACCGTTAGGTGTCCAGCGACCACTTTGAATAGAAGGTCTATTGTTAGTAAGATTAGGCTTTCTAGTAGACATGTGCCCTCAGGCGCGTATATATACCGATGCCCGAGCAAAAATCACCGTTGAGCTTCATGTCCTTCCTAAAGCTCCTTGAAGGTGCAGATGCCATATCAGTGATGTATAAAGAGGAAGAGGACAAGCAGAGGACAAAGTGTGGAGAGACATCCAGATCACACCCAACCACAACAATAAAAAATACCAGACTAACCAAGCATGGAGCACTGCATGGTAGTCACCGTTACCCAAACGGCTAAATATTCAGCAATTTTCCAGGATAATTTTATATAACTCGGCATTTCCCAAGTTATTTCTCATAAATTCTGAGTGTGTGGACATGTCAAATTATATAAAATTCTGAGTTATCAAGGGTTTACCTCAATATTCACAACCCCACTTATCCGTAATTGATATTTTAACACTCGTATTCGATATTCACAAAGCACATCCCGGTTATTCGCAAAGAAAATTTACGATGCTCTACGGTATTATTTCATACCACGCAGGCTAGAAGCAGCTCTCACATTCCGTTGTAAGGCACACTTCACACAGGCATGTTCTTTTCCACGCATGAGGACCCAGTGGTTTAGAAATGAATGAAATTCATCGAGACTGTTTACAAGGAGAACGCATGGGAGACACTCCCTCCCACGCCTGCCTATACCTGTACTTCCAAACCACAGCATGAAAATACACACCACGTTCTAAAATTCTTCATATGGCAATGGAGTACAGTACTCCAGACAAGCATGTTTCCCATCAAGTCAGTTGTGATGCATCTCTGGTAGAAGCTGGAAGTGCCTGTGATTATTTTTGTCAGATGCAGGTGAATTGAGGTGTAAAAACCAAGCCCATGTTTAAATGTTTACACTCATTTACAAACATCGTATACACACACACACACACATTCACTTGCTCGCTCACTCACTCACTCAGTGTTCTTTAGCATTGTTTTTATGGTGTTGCAGTTATTTTATGACATTATATGGAGTGTACCTGCATATCCAAAAATATGGTGCAATAAAAAAAGAAATATTAAGAGCATGGGTGTGGGTGGGTGGGTGTGTGTGTGTGGAATTGGCATGTTGCCAAGTCAGGCCGACCCTGTATCTATATACCCCTACCAGGCTGAGCTTTGTCATCAGTATTTTTCAGCTTGTAATTTTGGGTAGATATACGCAATTTTATTTTTTTATCCATTTTTTAACCCCGTTACATGAACACACAACTATTCATATAGAATATGAAAAAATAAATAAAAAATAAGAAATGATAGGTCAAAAACATTTCTTATGCCCACGGGAGCTAGCGTGCAGATCGTGGGGGGGAGGAAGAGCGAGCAGTGTTGGGGATCTCAGTGGCTCCAGTCTCCCTTGTCCTGCATGTAGTGAAACTATTTCCAACTGATTATGTTTTTTTTATTAGTTTAATTATGATCTATTCCTCACATTTGCTGGTTCTACAGTATACACATGACCCTGGTCCCCAATTATCTCGACAATGAGGAGTGTTTATAAAAAAATATTTTGTGAAAATTATTGGCTTGGAAAGCATCACCCCTATTTTACATTAATTTCCAATCGGAAAATTGCCCTCATGTTCACAATGATATTTAGGAACAGTATCTGCATAATTTTTTTATGAAGATCCCTATAATAACAAAAGAAAAATGTGAAAACTGTTATTAAGCATGTCCCCATATACTGTATAGTAGGTGAAAAATCTTCACAGGAAGAATGACATGCAAACCAAATACTTAATGCCTCCTGCTAGAGGTGGCAAAGACAAAATTAACCACAATGCCAACTATCTGTTGCTGAAGCCAACTCTCAAGGAAGGCAATGCAGAAGCACTGCAATATAATTGCTCTGCAATGCAACTACAATGCATCCTTGTCAGAGGCAAGTTTCAAGTTGGCAGGAAATCCAAATTATGCAGAAAGAAGGTAAATTTAATTGAATAATTATCAAATCACACTGGAATGTTTTCTGATCAACAGGATTGAGAGGATTCCCAAAATCCCTTACACAGTAGGCATAATCTGAAATTAATCTTTGATTCTGACTGTTTCCCTCAACACCTTAACCCCAACACACTTCAACTAAATAAAACCACTAAAGCTTATCTTGCTATTATCATGTAAAGACAAATTGGATTTTGGAATACAGGCTCTCTCATTATATTACATAAGTCTTTTGTACCCCAGCATGAATAGCACATTTGCCAAATTGAGTTTATGTTAAAAGATATACAAACCTGGATCATGGAGTTTGGTTGCTTGTAAGACGCTTGGTGTATAGAGTCACTCAGCGCAGAGCCAGCACGCTCACATAGGCGGAGCACAGATGACGGAGAACTGTGGCCCACTTGACGCCGAGCTCTGTGCATCAGAAAAAGAACACATATTTAATTCAATACTCAAACATATTATTACCAACTAATCCATGATTGAATTTTTAAATGGACCGTTCAAGAAACTATCTAAATTCTGCATAGACATTAAAATACTTAAAAATAAATGGATATTGGATCATTTAAATCATAAATTTGTATATTTTCATAAATAACATCTTTTTATGAAAGCTTACATCCTAAAATTGGTGTATAAACATATAAGTGTGCAGTTTACATTTCCAACCTTCAATCATCACCTATCCTTTACCCAGCAACATTATTGAATTTGTTAAATTTTTAGTTGCCCAAACAATTCTGCAGCAGGTTGCATTAAGTGCTTTAAGATTTTTTCATAATTTTTGTTCTTGATCATCCTTTTTCAGGTGCTTGACCCTTTAAGCCCAGGTGACGTTCCTCTACGTTCACTAAGGCAACCCCGGGTGACGTTCCTCAACAAATTTAATTTTTGCAGCATATTTTGAATGACCAAGCGGGACAAAATACAGGTATTGTACTTTGTAGTAGGACTGTCAGTTACCAGCCAACTATCATGATGGATGCATGTCCTTCAATCTCTCTTCAGTAATTTGTAGTTGCCATATTTATTGCCATGATAAACAATAAAATTGACACATAGCATACCATAAAATACAATAGCACATATTTTATGTAAAAAAAAATAGCTTCTTCAACACCCAAATGACCAGTTCAGGCAGTCAACCAGCTGACTCACAGAAATGTGGCTGCTGCGCTAGATGCGAGTATGCCGTGACTTTACGTTGGGTGGAATCACAGCCACGCAGTTATAGCCCAGTAACCCACCACCTCAAAACACACTCACTTCTCACGTATGCTCTTGATTTTTCTTATTTTGTTTTATATTATATTTTCCATGTTTTTAAGTCATATTAGAATATTGCATTGATTTTTTCCACAACTTTTATAGTTTCATTACAAGTAACAATATATGAGGCGGCTGGGCTGGCGAGTCGGCCACACAGATTATAGCCAAGGCCGTGGCTATAACAGCCTCCACACATATTCAATTCTCACACATAACAGTACTATACACACCCATGCTCTTCCTTTTCTTGTTTTATATTATATTTTATTTATTTCTAAGCCACATTAGAATAATGAAACGATTTTTCAACAACCTTTATACTGCAGTTTCATTACAGTAGTAGTACAGGTACTCTTCGTTTAGCGATCGGGATGAGTCCCTGAAAAACAGATTGCTAAGAGAAAAACCGAGAAATAATATCCTAAACAAGGGATAACAAGGAATTGTGTGGCCTAGTCGCTGACTGGCTGACTCACCACCCAGTAGCACCGAGTGAGTCAGAGAATGCAGTACAGTTCGGTACGAAATTCCAGTATGGCTTTGAGGGTCATAAAAGTTCGGTTTGATATTACGGTTCATTTTTTTTTCAAAGTTCGGTACGAAAGTACGATTAATTTTTCGTACTTTTATCGTACTATTTCAAACCAAGCCACACCCTTGAAATGTTGGCTGGCCACATGCCAGAACAATGGCTTGGGGCGATGCAGGTGTGCTCCAGCCTTCAGGTCAAGTCAGATCTGGCCATACTCTGTGAGCCAGTGTGACCCACAAAATTACATTGTCCCCCCCACAACACACGCACATAATGACACATTCTCATTCCCGAGTCTGACGTCATATGATGCAGTCAGGCTAACTTCTGCAGTGTTCAAAGCTTCTGTAAAATGTGTAATTTAGCATTAATATGTTAGTCAGTGTGGCTGAACTGTGAGCTATGTTATGTTCAACTCATAATTTCACATATACAGAATTTTCTTCTACTCTGTTGCATGTACACAAAATTATTCATACAGTATGTGCAAAAAAAAGTAAAAAAAAATAATCATGAGGTCAAAAACAAAGACTAAACAGTTCTTATGTGGTCAGCAGTTAGCCAACAGAGTGGGGAAGGGGGAACAAGGAGCGACATGGGGATCTCTCAGCTGTTCTGTCTCATGTACTGAGAAATGATTGCCAGTACAGTATACTGTACATTTGATACAGTTCATCCGGGCAGTCACCAAGCTGACTCAAGAGAAATGTATGGCTGCTGTCAGTATGCCAAGATGTCACATAAGGGGGAGGGAGAGTGCAGTTGGCCAGTCACTGCCTCAATACAGACCTTCTCTTCCCACACACACACATACTCATTTTATAGTACTGTATACTATAAAAATATAAAATATTGTACTGCACTGTATTTTCTTTATTTCTAAGCCACATTACAGTATTGTAATGATGTGCACTTGCAACACGGAATCCTCATTTTGTCTGATTTTCCTCCCAAATTTTCCCCAGTAAATATTGCAGATTGTTCCACAATAAGGGGTGTTAAAATTTTGAATTTGCGAAACTCAAATATAGCTAAGCAAACTATCACTAAACGAGAGATACCTATAATAATAACGTGGCAGCTGGGCTGGCAAGTCAGCCAAGCAGTTATAGCCCACCACCGACACACATGTTCACTTCCCACACATACACAACCCAGCCTTTTTATTTTTTCCTATTTTCTAGTTTTATTTTACAGTAAAACCTCGATTAACCGACCACACATGGGGGGGAAGGGGCAGACGGACAATCCAAAATGTCGGTTAATAGTACATAAAGACTACGGAAATAAAACATACATTTTCAAAGTACCTTTCCCTAACGTACCTCATTTAATTCCCTCATATTTCAATAGAATTTGCTTTAAAACATTAACCACTTTAGTAAATAAATATGAACCAGCATAGAAACCGTGAATAAAAAATGGAAAAGTCAAAGAACATATGTCATCACAAAAATTGTGACCAAGTCCCAGGTTGCTGATCTGACTTTCTGCCTTTTACACACAATTGCAGGGATTCAATTGTTTCTCTTACTATTGACAACACAACATACATACTGTACAGGTACATTGTTTCTCACTCTTGATTTTTTTTTTCATTTTTGCATTTCTTTATGGTTCTTTATTACTATAATTATTATTATCATTATTAATATTATTACATTTTCGACCCCCCCCCTAGGCCCCGATGTGGGTCAGTGACCTGTGCCTGGGTGGGCTAATCCCCGTGGAAAAAAAAAAAAAAAAAATCAGGGGTTCAGGATTGATGGTTAATCCGAAAGTCAGTTAATCGAGGTTTTACTGTATATTTTCTTTATTTCCAAGCCACATAGTTTATATCGTACTGTAGAGTGGAACAATTGACCTTTTTAAAGTGGGTTTTATGCCGAAATAGGCCCACATTGGGGGTCTTATATCACCCAGGTTAAGAGAACAAAATATTTATATTGTATTATCTTCTCCCACTTTTGTGTTGGGTGGATCAAGGGGTTCAAAAACCTTCATTTGGGTGGGGGGGAAGTGATGCAAATCAAGTGTGAATATAAACAGACCTCTCTACAATGTGTATAAAGTTAAACTTTGGCAATCATACTGATTCACAGTATGTACTACAATTCATTTTACATATTAAAATGTCAGGATTGTGTAAAACAAGCATCACCCTGAAAATTAAAATTCATAATCATAATGACCACAATTACCCACCTGGCAGCATTTAGAACAGCCAATGGCAGAGGATCATCTGAACCTTTTAGAGCCTCAGGAATGTTCTCAAGGGAGGAGTACAAGGACTCTGCTTGGTCATCTTCACCCAGCAACCAGTGTGCCACAACACCAAACAATGCACCCCACCAGCAACACACCTGTCAAATTATCACTGTTAAATACATCATTCAGGAATCAAGTAATATACAGAGAATTCAGTTACAAATCTCATAACTACACATTATAGAGACTACCAGGCTTGTTTGGTTTAAAGAGGCATAGTATACAAAACTACTCTAAAAAAGAAAATCTGATTCCAAAAGCTATTAAAAGTATCTTCATGCAAATTTAAAGCAATTATGGTAAATAATGCTAATCCTAATTCATTCAAAATGTCTTTGTGTACATTAATGTTAATCCATTTAAATGGCAGGACAATGGATATAAATTTTATTTACTGGAAGCTTTGATCATGACCTACCTCATCACGACAAGAAACACCAAGTGATGTGCCGGATCCATTGTAGGTTTCATTCAAGCGATGTATATAGTCCAGTACATCTGAGGTTTTGGTACGACGCTGAGCATTTTCCTCACATGCATCATCTGCTCTGTTGCCAGGGTTAACCAGGGTAGTTATTGCACGCTCAAGAAGATGTTCCCTGCAAAGAAAAATGAACATATACAGTGGGGTATGCTATAACAAACGGATCCCACTACGAATATTCCTATAACAAACGGTTTTACCTATACAATTGAGAATGCTATAACGAACGCAACTCCTACAACGAACGCGGATGAATACCGGACTATTTCGCCTGGCGCATGAATATTGTTGTACCGCGACCCACAACAAGAGCGTCAGGTGCCATCTTTGTCTCATTGTGTAACCAATGCACCACTGTTATTGTTGAAATTTCGTCTTTTGATGTGGAAATAGAGTTATTTGTATAAATATTTTGTAATACAAGTGTACAATTGTGACAATGAATCGTCCAAAGCGAGTGAGAAAGCTCATAACTCTTGAGACTAAGAAAGAAATCATAAAGAAACGTGAGGATGGAACAAGCATTGCGAAACTTAGTGATGAGTATGGGATGGCTAAATCGGCTATATGTACGATTTTAAAGAATAAAGAGGAGTTGAAAACAGTGCAAGTGGCTAAGGGAATCTCTAGACTTAGCAAAGCAAGGTGTTATGTGATTGAGGAGATGGAAAATTTACTCTTAGTGTGGATAAAGGAGAAAGAAATGGCAGGTGATGGCATTAGTGAAGCTATAATTTGTGAGAAGGCCAGACAATTGTTTGAGGACCTTAAAGCCAAGACTCCCAGTGCAAGTGATAGTGATGTGCCAGTGTTTAGGGGTACCAAGGGGTGGTTTACTGGTTTCAGAAGGAGAAATAAAATACATAGTGTTGTGAGACATGGTGATGCTGCTAATGCAGAAAAGGAAGCAGCTAAGGAACACCATGCCATTTTTTTTAATATTATTAAAGAGGGAGGCTTTGTTTCTGAGCAGGTATTCAACTGTGATGAAACTGGACTTTTTTTGGAAAACAATGCCTCGCCATACATACATTACCAAGGAGGAAACTTCTGTCTCTGGCCATAAGCCAATGAAAGACAGGCTTACCCTCCTTCTTTGTGCTAATGCTTCTGGTGACTCCAAAATAAAGCCACTCCTTGTGTACCATGCAGAAAACCCCAGAGCTTTCAAAAAAATTAGGAAGACCCGCCTTGGTGTTATGTGGCGGTCAAACCCAAAGGCTTGGGCGACCAGGAATTTATTCTCTGAGTGGGTGATTGAGGTGTTTGGACCCAGTGTTCGGGAATACCTCAGGGAGAATAATCTTCCACTGAAAGCTTTGTTGGTGATGGACAATGCACCAGCCCACCCTCCTAATTTGATGGTTGAATTGCCAGAGGAGTTCAACTTCATCACTGTGCACTTCTTGCCACCCAACACAACACCTCTCATCCAGCCCATGGATCAACAGGTAATTTCTAACTTTAAGAAGCTGTACACAAAGGCACTGTTTAGAAAATGTTTTGCGTCCACTTCTTCCAGTGATGTTAGCTTGAAGGAATTTTGGAAGAATCACTTCAATATAGCAGATGCTGTTTTTTTAATTACCTCAGCCTGGAAAGAGGTTACTGTGAGGTGTCTTTGTGCTGCTTGGAGGCCATTGTGGCCTGAATGTGTCCTTCAAAGAGACTTTGATGGCTTCGAAGAGTTAGAAGAAGAGGCTGTTGTTCATGAAATTGTGTCTCTGGGCAATTCCATGGGCCTGGAAGTGGAAGATGATGATGTTGAGGAGTTGGTGGAAGAGCACAGTAAGGAATTGTCCACTGAGGAGCTGCTTGAGCTTCACAAAGAGGAAAATGAGACACTGAAGCGGAGCTTAACTTCTGAGGAGTCAGGGGAGGAGGAGGACAAGGAGGAAAGCCGCATCATTCCAGCCAAAGATCTCAAGGATGCGTTCTTTTGCTGGAGCAAACTGTCCAAACTTGCCGAGGATTATCATCCTGATGTTGGTTCTGTGCAAAAGGCCATCAGTGTGTTTAATGACAATGTTATGAACTACTTTTGGAAGGTCCAGAAATCAAGGTTGAAGCAGCCAACCCTGGATTCCTTCTTTACAAAGGTAACAAAAGAACCTACAGACAAAGTGCCTGTGAGACCGTCACCAAAGAGGGCTAGGAAGGATGACTCCCCTCCTTCCACCTCTTCTCCATAATTCTCTCCTCCCCCCTCCCCTTCTGCCTCCTGTCCTGCATGCTGAACAACACTAAGGTAAGATAAAGTACCGTATTTTTTACATTTTCCACAGAATTTTTTCAGTGTTAAGTGGTTGTATTTGGGGGCCTGGAACGGATTAATCCTATAACGAACGAGGTTCTGGAACCAATTACATTCGTTATAGCATACCCCATTGTATAGAGAAAATTATTCTACAAATCTGACAAAAATAAAATAACGTCCATGATACACACCCACACTACAAATCAATACTATAGTGCCAATCTTAAAGCTAAGTTTAAAAGATATGCATCGTATTACCTAAAATTCTCCAAATTAAACTACAATACATGCAGTACAGTACTGTAATTATTTACGTTATGAATTTAATTTCAAAACTGAATCAAGGGATACTATACACTACTGCCAGATTATTATTATTTTTTGTGAACTCTCTTGCATAGTACCTTAACTGCTTTATACATGAATATATTTTTTTCAATGTTCCAAAATTACACAAACTACAAACCTGTAGAGCAGCAGTAGGTAAGCCAAGGGATCAGCTTTATTTGTAAGCTGGCTAAACATACTCTCTCGATGGGCATCATAAGACCATTTATGAGAAACAAAGAACCTTTTCCCAGATGGAGTAAAGAGCCAATGTATGGTAGAAAAACTTGTCTGATCAGTCTTGGAAAATTTGTGCTTTGCCTGAGCTAATAACATACGAGAGAGAATACGCCAGCGCTCCGGTAGAGATTCTTTGGCCCTGAGGGCACACATGACCAACATCTCAGCCATGTCTCCACCTGTAATAGTATAAATATAGTTATTCATCATCAAAATATAAAAGGACTTTCCCTACCAAATTCAAATGCTCCAAGTGAAACCATTTCAGATTATATGATACTTTTGACTTCTTAATCTCCCCCATTGTTAATAATATTCAGTCAATATGCTTAATCCATCCACTGCAGCTGGTAACCTTATTCCATTCCATATAGAGTACAGTACTGTATCTGCTTCTTTAGCTCAGGGTAGAGCACTGGTTTTTAAAACCAGGGGTCGTAAGTTGAAACCTCACAGGGAACGTAATATATAAATTTGTAACAAGCCGAGTAGTCTTTGATTACTTCATAGTTGCGACACTGCCTTGCCAATTGTTCCCACCCTGTGGGTTAGTGTTAGGAAGGGCATCCAGCTGTAAAACTGCTTCAACATGCCTGATGGTAGCTGGGTCACCAGAGTTGTGCCCATCCCTTTGTCACAGTTGCATTTTCTGGGCGAGCACCCTGGGTTTGCAATGGTGAACATCTCATTCTGGTTTTGCACAACAGCGGCCTTCAAGAAATCACGGCCAACCCACACAAGCACAGAAAAACAGCTGATGCGCAAGCCAAAACAAGTTGTCGTAAGGATTTCGTCGATTGAATTTTTGTTTGTTAACCGAATTGAAGATCCTTATGGAAGGCAATTCGTTAACCAAACCGTTCGTTAACCGAGGGACCACTGTATATGGTATATAAAAGCAGTACCAGCTAGTATAGTAGTATTTTCATACTGAGCCGTAGGGTAATGTAGGGTAATTTCAGTGTCTGTGTAGGGTGCAGAGATCTTGAGGGGTTGGCAACACTGTCTATAGCATGAAGGAGGTTGACATTCTTCCTTAAGGCTGCAAATCTGAGATTAATCTACTTATGTGGTGAGGGACAAGAATTTTAGTAGTGGAGATGATAATACTGCTGGATGGGAACAGTTAGCCTATGCACACATAATGCATCATAATGAATGAAAAGTACAATCACAGATATAAACCTAGACCAGAGTCAAATCATTATTATAAAGCCAAGGGTAAATACAATTAAGAGTTTGATGGGATATATAATCACAAAGATAAAATGAGTAAAGCTTCTTTTGATTGCTGTGCGGTCGGCAAAAATTTTTCTCAAACTGGATACGAGATTTCAGAATGAGCACTATGGCTCTTATTTTCTCAGAAAGGTTGGTATGCCCTGTTGGGAAAGAACTTTCAATATTTTGTAAAAATATATGTTGCTCGTCTTTAAAGTATTTAAAGTACAGGTGAAAAGTATGTGATATTCCTATTAGCCAGAACAATTGGTGCAGAGCACTTCCGGGAAAGGAAATGACACAACTCTCTCAAACCCAGAAAATATTCCCCGTCCCCGGAAAATTTTCAAGTACAGTAGTGGGAAAAGTTTCTCAGAATCTTCCGGAAATTGCTGACTATTTCATCTTCGAAATTTGCTCCCAGACCCGGAAAAAAAAATTTGGGGTTTCTGTTTTTTTTCCAGAAAAAGTGCCCGAATTTTTACCAAAATGGACCTAAGTCCGTAATATATGAACCTAGTCCTAACAGGTTAGAGTGTCCGTTACAGACAGTTTCCGTTTTATTGGGAGTTTACTGTAAGAAAAATATTGCACATTTCATTCGTATAAAAAAAATAACGAGTTTCCAAACTTCAAGAAAAATGCAATGTTACCTGCAACGCTGCCGCACTCAGCCAGGTTCGTTGTCGTCATTGCTAAGTACAGGCCAAGGAGAGTGGATGAATCCTGTGAGTGTCCCATCAGATGCAGTTTATGTAACCTATGATATACATAGGCACACTCACACATACTCTCCTGGATCTCTTCACGAACTGATCTGGTAAAAGTAATAATTTAAACAACCACTCATTGCATAATACTGTACAGTATATGAAAACAGAAACACACGGTACAGTACTGTGTTTGGAATGTGCCTTAGACCTACAGCAGGCAAAACTTCTCAATACAGTATATTCCTTTCAGTGTGTTAAGAAAACTAGAAATGGCTAACAAAGTTGTCTTATTTCAAAATATCAAACGTGTCTATATGGCATGAGCATGTATTTTCCCAAAGGCAATGTTATAAATGGGAATGCAATCCTAGAGGAAGGAGGGGATATTTTTGGCAGTACAGTACTGTACTTTGCGGAAAATATAGCATTAAATAGCCAACGTACATTATTGTAATAAGTAATAACATAGAACAGTACTATAAGCACATAAAAACCATTAAGTATGGAAGATTTTAACGACTAAAGTCAAGAGTTAATGAACAGTATTGTGATATCCTTACTATTTGTTTGGCCATTTTTTTGTTATTAACCAGGTATCTAAACATTTCAAGATAGATTGTCAAACTGTCACACATTTATCAAAGGAAGCAAAGGCAAACACACTAATATGTTTCAAAAAAAAAATCAATGGCACCGGACAGCAACAACTCGGCTGATCACAGCAGGCTAGCATAGACACAGTTATGAGAAAAAACAAAAATGTATTGTGCTGTATTTTTTATTAAAAAAGAATTTAACACTCGGAGGTTGCAGAGGTTATTCAAAGTAGTGATAATGGCATCTGAATCTTGAAGTGTGCAAAACTAAGTTCATTTGAAACTACAGTATACAATTTCCCTAATATGCAAGTGACTTGTGTGATTCTAAATTTTTTTGAGGATTTACTGGAAACACAAGCTAACGTTATGATCAATCTTATAATATATATATATACTAGTAATAAAAATACAGTACAGTACAGTGATTCCAATAAGTTTTACCAATGGTGACCAAAACAAGATTTTTATCATTACACTTACTGTTCAAGAAAAAGTCCACCAGCATGCTTTGCCAGCCATCGTCCCAAGTATAGACGCTGAAGAATCTGACGGATCCCTTGCCACAGGACTGAAAACGCCTTCTCCAATAAGTTACTTGGTAATGGTCGTCCAACAACCATTAGAGACAAACTGTACTGTTGGTAGGCACTGCTGTAATTACCCTGCAAGGAAAAAACAACAGTGATACTGAAATCCCATTTCATGAAAAAGTAACATGTCAACCAGTCTACAATTTTGGAACTCAAAAGAACCCTAAAAAATGGTGTCTGGAACCAAATCAGTGATCAACCTTACCCTTCCCTTATATCCAATTTTCCACTGTAATTCCTTGTTTTCCCGACCATCAACAAAATATGTGGAATGTGACATAATCAAATACAGTACTGTACTGTCCAAGATGATAGTGCAACAAGCCAATAACACTTACTTCTATGGCTTATTTCAATGTTTAGAAATATTTTTACTTTAGAGCAATATGAAAAGCATCTGTTGCTGTAAAATATTTATCAAATGAGTAAGTGTTCATAGAAATCAAAATTTTTACCAAATTTTACCTTTACTGTATTTCTATGTAATGAATGGCCATTAAATGGCTAAAAAATACAATACCATCAGTACATAAATGACAATTTTCTTGAAAATGCTAGGGAAAAAAGGTAAAAAGCAAACATTTACAGTAGGGTCGCAGAGTAAAAGCATCCACATTACATAAACCTGCTTATACACGAGTAACCTGAACCGCCCTTATGCTTTAGCCTTGCTCACGAGTGAGCCAACCCACCCAGCACATTTCACTAGTTAAGCGTATTTATCACTTGCCCGTGCTCATTTGAAAAATAAAAATAAAATAAAAATATATTCATTACAATACTCTGTGGCTTAAAAATAAAGAAAATATAATATATACTAAAAAAAAATGAAGAGCATGCGTGTACATGTAGAATGAATGTACACTCAACAAAAACGCCTCGAACAGTTGAGCATGACAGATTTCAGAAGAGCACTATGGCGTGTCATCTCACTGGTTGGTATGCCAGGTTGAAAAGTGACTCAATATTTCGCAATAATATATGTTGCTTGTCTTTATAGTATTTACAAGTGAAGAAAAGTAATTTAATTGGCAATAAAACTTCCAGAGAGCAACGTTCAGATTTACCGTTGATTTTGTCGTATTGTCCAACTCTTAGCGTGTTCAAGAATTTTTTGTGGCGTGTGTACATGTGGAGGCAGTGGGCTGTAACCGTGTCGTCGACTCGTCACCCAGCTGCACTCCTTCCCCCAACTCCGATGTAACATCACAGCATACACACGTCTGAATCAGCCGAGTGACTTCCCAGCTGAACCATGTCTTGTCAACCAGAGGATGATTTGAGTGTACATTACATTTAAAGTGTTCATATGGTACCATAGGTTTAATATTTTAGTTTTTTGTATATTTAAGGTGTTTGCTCAGTACCGTACGTTAAATTATTACCGAGGCATCCTTCTCTCTATCACACTGGTTCCATGAACATCTCGTAAGTGTTCACGCCGGTAAAGGTTTTCTCTACCCATGAATTTTACTGTAACCATGGCCCATAAGAGGAGAATTAATGGCAGTGCTTGTGATGGCGAGTGACAAAAAGAAATAAGTGCATACAGGGGTCCCCCCCCCCCCCCAAATTTGTGGGGGTACATTTTTACTTGTGTACAAAGAAATGTATACAGGTCCACCAGCGATTTTCCGGCACCCTTGGTTACTGAGCCTTGCCTGATTAACAGAGGTCATACATAATAATTAAGCAATACACCTCTGACCCACTAGCTATACACCTCCCGGTATCTTTAAAGCACCATGGAATCACTTTCTGCATAGAATCTCATTACTTTTTCTCTTTGCTTCTTTATATCATACACAGTTGACGAACCAATACCATACTGATCACACACCTGTCGCTCCGAAACACCAAGGTCAAGTTTTCTTAAGAGTTCCACCTTATCTTGTATTGATATGGACTGGTGTTTACGCTTTACACCACCACTGACACTTGTACTTGCCCTTGAAGCCATAGCTGGGGTTAAATATGTGCAAAATAAGCTAAGAATCACACAAAATCAAGGGGCTACCACCAGCAAATGCAGAGTAAACAAACAAAGTGAGCGCGGTCAACACGTAACACCGTCTGTGGCAGACCAGTAAACTAATATGGAAGTTGCAGGAATTTCAAGTGCCCTTTTGTAATTTTGTCTGGATTAAAAGAGATGCTGGACTATTCATTCCCGGAAAATCGGTGGTGGACGTGTATTCCCTTTATGCGTTTGCCCTTAGGACATTTATTTCTTTTACCAGTCTTTTACTGTCTCTTGAACGAATGGCTCCGTCCCAGCCACGAAAATGCCAGCAACTTTGAAACTATCCACAGACATTCTTGGGTACATCCAGGGTGTCATCCACGAGTAATAAAGGACCGCGAAAAAAAATCCGCGAACCTGGAGGGTCCCCTGTACTGAACTGTGAACTTTTGAAGAAAAGGTCAAAATAATGGACTTAACAAGGAGCAGCACTTCCAAGTCAGAGGTTGTGCATGAATTACCATAGTATTAAAAACAGGTTATATGTATACATACAGGGGGACCCAAATATATGTATATTCGCACTTACACAGGGATCCCAGGAATGTAACCCTTGCGTACTCTGAGACCCTACTGTACACTAAGTACTGTACTACTGTACCTTAGACAAGTCGAGATCTGCCTGCTTGCGGTGACGCCAAAAGCTCTCTGCTGTGTTAGACTTTCTCCTCATGATGGGTTCTCCATAGACAAATATCCTCACAAGAAACATAGCGATGATGGCGAAGTTGACCATCCACACGGTAAATGAAGAATACAGGAAGTTTTGGAATGAGAATTTACCTGAAATTTAATTGTATAAATTATATGCCTGAGTAGTACTTAACCTGACAATATCTTCACAAGAACCCTAAAAGTTCAAAGATACTAATGACAAAGGAAACAACTAAAACCCCAGTGTACAGAAGTGAAACAATTAACTGTGCTACCAACCTTCAACTGAATCCATTTCAAGAATAGTTCTTCCTGGAACTTCATCATATGACCAAGAATAACCGGGTGCAAGATGTTTCGCAAACAAGCTCATAGGGTTGAAAGCAAGGACAGTTAACATCATCATGCACAGCGTCATGCGTGAGCTATCCGTCAATGAACGAGCCATTGTCATGTACGGTGGAGTGGTTCCTGGTGATGGCAACTGCTACAATAGATAATGAAAAATTATATATTATTTCCAGACCAAGATGAGCAATTACCGGTACTATAAATATACTGATGTTACCATATATCAGTTTAAATACAACTATCAAAAGCAGTGTGATATTAACAACTCCCTCTCACCTCTTCCTTGACTTCCAACTTGGTTGATTTGGGTGATGGAGGTAATGAAGACTCTGAGAGTGGTGACCTAACAGGCGAGGATATGTCTGATGGAGGCGGTGTGTATGATCCAACAAGCAAATCCGTGATTTTCTGGTTACCATCACGCATTCGGTATGTGTTGAGTTCTGTTCTTAATCGAGAATTCTGTGTCTGCAGGTATCTTATGTAGTCTATAGCCTTTTTCAAAATCTGAGACTTGTGAAGCTGGAAAACATAATATAAATTAAGTTACACTTTTATATAATATATTAAAAAGAAATATTGTTGGAAGTAGTCTAGACATAAAAATTAGAAAATATGAGGAAAGTACAATCAAACTCATTAAAATATTTCTAATTTTACCAAAGATATTATCTTTTGGGAAAATATCAAGTTCCTGAAAATAAAAACATGGGCACAACCCTTAAAAATACAACTTTTCAAATAAAAGAAGATACACATCATGGTTGGTAAACGTTGCCAAATACTGTAACAGGATATTAATTTATCTACACCAACAAGGGAAGATGTGAATGTAAGTAGAAGCAGATTGGGAAGGTTTACCTGTATAATTATGTCCTATAGCCCTGTACTCAAATTGTTTGCCTAGTAGTGGTGGTGAGGCAGATCAAGCTTACTTTTCTTTATATTTACTTGGATGTTTCATTATCGATGATACTGAACAAAATAAACCACCGGTCTAACCTCAGGAGACCCAACATGAATACCCGTGACTAACCTTAATCGTTGGTATGACCTCTGCAGCTATTACCTTGAAAAGGAATGTAGAAGCAAAGGATCCCTCACACACACACTAATTGATTTTAGGATCAATCCTCCAATTTTGGTCAGTAAACATTCACTACACATTTTAAATGCCTGAAGCCAGCTAAGAAATGAATAGTAGTGGTGGTAGTACAGTAATCCTACACTCCTGTGGGAGCCAATTTCCAAACAGCAACGCGGCAGTAGTATCGCCATTTATAAATGAATGGGTATTGGTCATCTTATAATGGACGTGATTGGTGGATATGTTTGCTATAGGTCATATAAGTTGGCCATTTAGAGACACAGGGGTGTAGGAATACACTTCTGCAACTGTACCTGTACTAAATAATCCAACTACTCCAATGGGAGTTAACCCTAATTCTAAAATTAAGGCTGAACTTGGATAACTCCACCAGCTTAACAAACAACACAGGTCAATGCAGAATATAAGTTCCCAGAGATAATGAACTCTGTATATAATAAGGTTATGTTAAAGCAACACTTGAAAATATCCTGATTTCAAGCCTTAAAAGTTCCCTCTTAAAAAAAAAATAAAATGGTCAGTTCAATGTTAAGCCTATGACTAAATTAGGATTAATGCTTGAAAAACTAATACAGCCTGCCTAAACAGAAGGGTAGGGTGTGCATTACTAGTATGATATCACGTGTTCCCTCAACCTCTGTTGTTTCCTTTGAGGGAAACCTTTACTGTACTACTTCTCTCCCTTTTGGGGGCAACAGTAGCACGGGGCATGTACTAATCACTTTAAAGTAATCCTAGTCACTTTTGTTGGGTATTCTGGGATTAGAGCAAGAGCTTAGCAAATTCATTATACTGTACTACAGCCATCTACAAAAGGGTGACCAACCACATATCATGTATCCCAAATGCAATATGGTAACTGTCCCAACAAACTTGGTTATACCTTTAGTTCTATGTATGAGGCTATAAACTAATGGCATCCACAATCTTTCCAATAAATCTGTTGTGATTTTGACACTACATTAGGCATATGCACCTTCAGCTGTGTGTAAGCCAGCAAAATAGATTATTCCCTCACATCCCTAATATTGATTAAAGCATTTTTTTAATCATGCCGAGCATCTCTAACCTCAACACTGACATCATGAATAAATTATATTGATTCATACAAAATTTTCTTATTACATATCAAAATAATGGACATGATTTCATATTTTTTTTGGGTGGGTGGGTGGGTGGGTGGGTGGGGGGGTGGCATTATTTATATATTTAATCATAAATCATTAAGTATACAGTATTTCAAAGATGACAAGTCACAAAATAATGAATACACACCTTTGCCTCTTCACCTGCAACAAGATTCTTGAGCTCCAATATCTTGTCATTAATAGAGCTTCTGTAACGTTTCTCTATGGCATTGTGAGAATTACGCTTCTCTCCCTTCTGTGGTACAATCATTGGCTTGTTTGCCGAACTAACCACTCGAGCCAGGGGTACACGGTCAGATTCTAACATGAGAGGAATGCCCGTGACAACTGTAGTTTGACCGAGGTTCTGAATGGGTGTTGTGATTGTTGCTATTGTGGGCGTTGCTTTATAATAAACCGTGTGAGGTACAGTAATACACTGGCCTGAAGATGAAGTTGTCAGAGTTTCTGATTTGGGTATCACTAGCTGTTGTATCAGTGATGGCTGCTGGACCACCTGTGAAACACAAGTAGTGACCACCCTCTTGGCAATATTTTGTGGTATGGTCACTTGCTGAAGTTGGGGTTGTACCTGGACAGTTTGTGGCTGGATCTGGGTTACTGTGCTTTGCTGCTGCTGTGAGATATTGATTTGCTGTTGTGAGAGTAGTTGTTGAAGCTGTGGGGATTGGTTAAGCCCATTATTGGTCACCACAGACTGAGGGACATTGATGATGGAAGTCGGACTAACACGAGGGGTAACGTGTGCCACCTGTCTCACTTGTGTTCCACCTATGGAGGTCACAACTAGTTGCTGCTGATGTGGTTGTTGTGGTTGTTGTTGTTGTTGTTGTTGTTGTGGTTGTTGTTGTGGTTGTTGCAGTGATTGTTGCTGTTGGGATGATACCTTTGATATCTGTAAATCAATAACATGTTTCAAGAACAATTTGATGTTTATGATTACTAAAGAAACTGATCTAGAAATATGCCACAACATAAAACCAATAATATGTACAATATATCAAAGCTGAAATTAAAGCAAGCCTTATTCTATTGGGAAAAAACAGAGAGAGAGCTTGCATGCTTCTACCCACTGACAGAAATACCTACGATCTACTCGCAGACAAATCTGAGAGAAAATCAGACAAATTTTCGAAGATGAAACGATGTAAGTTTTCATTGTTTTGACTTTTTACATTGAATTCAGAGAGATGCACTGTTTTATTTGTTAGTGACTTCTGTGTCAAGACTGGGAAATACATATGGGTGGCCTGGATTTAATAACAAAGACAATGACCAAGAAAAAAAAAGGGCAGGCAGCCTAGGCAGGCAGGCACTGACAAGGATTGTACATTTTTTCCTAGAATAATGCTTCTCATCACCATCATTCTCTCGGTTTATTTTGAAATTCTGTATCATTTTCATCATCGTTTCACTTTGAACATCACTCATGGCCTTAATGTTTTTCCTAGGTCGTACAGTGTTCCTGATGACTACCGTTTACTACAGTACCGCTGATCATACCGCGTGAATAAACAGGACATGTACCTGTCCAGTACCGACTTGCACGTCCAGTGACCGAGTCATCCACCTACTTGCCTGTCCACCAGTTACTATTACGTCCCGTCCCAGCCATATAACAGCACCACAATGACTCCACATTACAGATTGCAGACAAATTACTGTAGAAATTTCTGTCAGTGGGTGTTCTAACCTTTATTACACACTTAAAATATTTTTCTGTACTCAACGTTAAGCCTGACTATGGCAAATCTTGGTGTTATAATTCTTATAGAAAAATGTGGTACAAGGATATCATTAACTAAATCATCACAATCAAACCTTAGATTTACCTGATAGCCACTATGGTTGAGAAAACTCTCACTGCTGTTCAAGAAACTGGTGTTGCCAATACTACTACTGGGAGTCGTGTTGAAGCTGCTCCCATGAGAGGGAGTCGAGGTGTTGCTTGGTATAGATGCTGGTGCTTGCTGATTAATTCGTCCACTACCAACTCCACCATGAGGCATGACATCACTTTCATTCCAATCCACAAGACCTAAGTCCTTAATGTCATCCAAGTCAAGGTCTGGCCAGTTCATCTGAGACAAGAGGTCTGTACAAGAAATAAAAAGTTGAAAATTGAGTACAGTACAGTACTGTACATAAAGTATATTGAATATATTATTTGAGAGAAAGATTTGAAAATAAATCTAAAAGTGAAGGAAAGTCATTGACTGAGACACACTAAAAAGAGTAGCAGAAATACACCAGTTTAATTTAATTCAGTTACAGTAAACCCTCGATAACTCGCCATTTGAGAACTCTGAATTTCATATAACTCGGCATGGATATGGTCTTGGAATGTATTAGTATAACTCGGGAAATGCCGAAGTATGTAAATTATCTGGGTAAAGCTTGGCGCATCCGGCCACCTGCATCACCTACCATACCTCTGTGTCACCTGATAATGGTTACCCCTCATGTAACCAGGATGGCCGGCCAAAAGGGCAACCTCGGCACAAATTTGCTTAAGACGTAGAAGCTGTTGCCAACACAACAACCACACCCTAAGTTAACGAGTTGCACGACCCAGTGTCAAGGAATAGTCCGAGAAAACCGGACAACTCGCCAACTGCACTGGTTAACCATTGCCCCGGAACACAATCCGCAAACCGATTAACATCCAGGTTCTCAATTACTGCCGAGTAGACAAAGGCAGATGGCGTAAAGAAACTTGCCCATAGTTTCACCCTGCCCGGGGTTCAAACCCGGGTCCGCTCGCTTGCGAGGCGGGCATGCTGACCATTACACCACAGGCCGTTTGTTTACTATAGTACGTAGTATAATATAATACAAAACAACAAAGCCCAACCATTAACTAAGCAACGGGGAACTAAGTAACCAATTACTGATAACCATTTACATTCATTCACAATTTTTACTACGTACTATAGTAAACAAACGGCCTTGAGTTGCCAGCTGTCTTCAGCAGTGTTCGAAGATTCTTGAATGAGACAGTACATGCCCTTTTATTGAACATTTTGACGTCCATCCACGAGATTTTGTCAGCTGATAAATATCTCTTTGAGTGTCTTTAAAGCTTCATATCTAACATGTAGAGTTCTCTAGTAGTTTTCATTTCTTTCAGAGTTGATGTTGGAGAGTTCAATGCCACATTTTGTTGCAGCCATTTCAGGCTTTAGGAAACAGCAAAGCAATGTAACAACTAGCAGGGAGAGCTATCATACAGTACAGTATGTGGATAAGCAGTGCTTCACTCTGAAATAGCTTGTTCCTCTTGTAAACATTGGCTTGACAAATTTCAGGAACTGTATTTCTACAAAGAGCAAATTGTTCTTAAAAATCTTGGAGCCTCTTGATCCTTTCCTTATTCTTATGGTCTTATTGAGAAAGAAAATTAGAATGTAGTACTGTACAGTAACCATTGTTATTTGCGGGGGTTAGGTTCCAGGGAATGGCGTGAATAGCAACTCGTACTACTTTAGTGCATTACTGTATACCTATACCATACAGCCAAGGCAGCACTCCTCCCCTTTTAAATTGTCTAATAATTCAACTTTCTTTGTCAGGGTCATAACTGACTTCTGCCTTTTACGTTTCACTCCACTAGCATTACCAGCACCGACACTGGGCAGTCTTCTAAGGGCCATTTCACACAGAAACACTAGAGTTTTGACCACAATACAAGAGATACTGTGTCACAGACAATGGTTGAGTGCAACAAGGAAGAGAAGACACTGTGGGAGAGGCTTGTAAGCTATCCACCGTCTGCTTACCGCAAATAACAAGGGTTTACTGTACATAATGGTCAATAGCCAGAGGCGGTTCTTCAAAGCGACTAATTACAGCTTCCAGAGTGAGCCACTGACTTGGTGACTTACTGGGTAAACCTTGAGGACGTACCAATACCAAGTTGTTAACATTATCACCAAACTTGTCATAAGCAGCTACGAAAGCATTGTGAATTTTGTGAATACTGCATTGCAGGCACTTATATGCATAATCTGGGGATGTAGTGTTGTTTTCATTACAACCTGTCAATCACTGGGTATCCACACAAGTTAACAAGTGTACAGTGGAATAGCAGCTTGGGTCCTGACCAAAACTTTCAACTGTCCCTAGTATGGCAGTTGTTGTCTCAATAATCTCTAGTGTATGTGGGATTGGAAAGTGGCTTATGCGAGTCCTATCTTGAAGAAGGGTGATGTCACTCCACGAACAACTATAGACTGGTGAGCCTGACCAGCATAATATGTAAAGTACTTGAGAGTATTATCAGAGATGCCGCGATGGAACATCTACTACGAAACAACCTTGTAAAGGATTGCCAACATGGTTTTATGTTGTGACGGCACCAAGTGTGAGCTCTTTCAAGACCAGACTTGACCAACACTGGAGCAGGTTAAGGTACATTCAGGAGCTGGTGTATGACCAGTACTTGCCAACAGTGCATAACAGACGTGACCGATCGCCCAAGCAGCTAACGAGCCGATCAGTGGTGAAGAAGATAAAAGTTAAAAAAATTAAAGCAAAGTTTTGTATTTCATTTTCAAATAAATCTGAAATGAGGTCCACGTCTATCCAATACTGTATTACGTGTTATAACTTGGTTTGGGGTGCTAACTATTCATTGCAGCAGCAACTTTTGAATCTGGCAACATAATGGGGGAAAACTGGTAAATTTTGTGAGAAACATGAGCTGGAAGATGGGCTGATACAAGTGCTGTAGCTATTGTGTACCAAATGGCTTCAGTAAAAGTCACTTGATCTGGAATGTCACATGAGAAATCTTCTTCAAATGACCAACCAATGCATCATACCCTCAATTTTACGTCAAAATTTTTATTACAAATCAATCAGTAATGAGCATTTACACCAGTGGATGATTCTATACACCGGTATCTCATTAAATCACCATTGCTCTCTTGTCTGTGTCGTTGAATCTTAATTATTTCTTTTCAGCCATCGTGTAACATAAGATCTATGAAAATGTTTGGTTGTCATCAAAACAGATTCCAGCCTTTTCTTTCAAAAACCTCAATATTTCATCATATTTCTGTATCACACAGCACTTATTTTGTGCATCACACACTCATACTGCCTTATTGCAAATTATGATGAATACTGAACATGGCAATGCTGGCAGCACGGAAGAAATTGGAAGTGGTGAATTTGAATGGTGGGGTAAAAGTAAATACTGTACTTTAACTCTACTGTATGCATAGTATACAATATGTAAATCAACCAAGCTACAAAAAAAAAAAATAATATTGAGGCTTATAAAAAAAATCAAATATATAATGGATGTACTCTACTGTACAGTACTGTACATGTTATTTTGTCACATTGTGGCACCCCTGCAACAGGCCGAGCTACTTGCTCTAGACAAGGAAAACTATTTGTCAAAAGCTGAAGCATAGCTTAGTAAGAAGATTTGTCCCAGAACAATACCTTGTGCTTAAGGAGGAAACTTAGTGTAGTACAGGTACAGTACAGAGTATTTGTATTTCCTTATTTTTATATTCTCCTAACTTTAGTCTGTGATATTATATAAAATAAAAACTTAAAACCTGAAATCACCAAACCCTGGCTGGGAAGATGAGGGAAGGAGGAAGGGGAGGTGACATGTTTGAAAGTTGTGCCGAAGGTCTAGTGAAGTATTTATTTGTTTATTTATGTCCTATAGATTGAGTTTTTGTTTTTTGTTTATAAAATGTCACAGAAGTGACCGGGGAGAATATAATTTACATTGCTGGAATTTTTATAAGACTGATTAATTTGAATCTAATCATGCTAGAGTTTGCACTGGACAAAAATTTTAGTAATCACTTAGTACATTATTTTGAGTACATGTACAGTACAGCTTTGCCCATAGGACAGTGTAGCGTGCCCTGAGAAACATTAGGTGCAAATTTTAAAATATAATGCACCAGATTGCTCATGCAAAATCGGAAAGATTTGCTTTAAATTAAAACGTTATCCTTAATTGTGGGTGTCGCTTTAAATAAATAATCTTAAATTGAATCGCTTTAAATCGACGTTCTACTGTACTGTATATTGTACCAGTACATACTGTATACTTAGAAATTGATTATAATCTACATAATTTTTATATAGCTCGGAATAATTTAAACCTACACTTAAGAATCCTCATTGGGACAAAATAATATAGGTAGTTGAAAATCAATTTCATATGTCATAATTTTTTTGCATTACTAATGGGCCCATAAGTGTTAACCTTTTTTATAAAAGAAAAATCCCTTACACCAAATTGAAATTTCCTCGGTTCATGATCATGTGTTAACTTTGAACATAAAAATATAAAAAGAATCAAAAGCACATCTCAAAACTGGTTAGTATGGAGTCCAACAACTGCTAGGGAAGCCACCCAACAAACAATATTTCTTGATGGTAGTAGCTAATTAAATTGGATACAGGCGTTGACCGTTATACGATGGATCAGCTTACGATAAAAAATTAACACCATTTTCCGTGATGCGATGGCTATGATAAATTTTACAATGGTCACTATCTGAATGCCTTTCCTGCATTGCCACTGCTATGAAAAAGTGATGTAAAATAACTCACAATATTCCAATATTCAAAAGGGGGCTAGATAGATTCATGGATGATAGAGAGTGGTAGTAACTCTCGACAGGAGCTGCCATGCACAGGCCAACCGGCCTATTGCAGACTCCTTATTTTCTTATGTTCTTAAGACATGACACAATCTCAGAATGGCATAACACATGTGACCCACACTGGATGAGTGGTTAGCTCTGCCCGTAACCAGTAACTGGCAGGCTGTGTCGTTGAACTGTGTCACATTGCCCAGTTTTGAAAACTAATATTGTGGGTAATTTTATTAGTTAAAATACTGTTCTCGAAAAGTATAAATTTCCGATGGAAACTGTATAGAATAGACTATTTTTAGGTTTTTCTCTTTCTCCTTATATTAGACTCAATATATAAATAGGTGCTGGCAACTTCTAAATATTAACCCTATCATCTAAGGAACATTTGTGGGAAAAAGAACGAAATCAAACAATACATTTTGGTGTTAGCCATCTGCTCCAGTAATACCACAAACTAATCCCAAAGTGATTTCTCAATAATAATGAGACTTCATGGTTTTTTTAAAACAAAATTAAAGTTACATGGTAACCCTTATACTGTATAGGTAGTAAATCTGACAATTTTTTTCTTATTAGTAGTACAGTACAAGGATGTTGTAGTGTAACATTAAGTTTTTGATGATGCCATCATATTTGATAAATATTGACAACTGACCTGCGGCCAATTTGTCATAGAAAACGATTACAAAAATGCCGCAATTTGACTGTTTTTAGTGGACAGTCGTAATTTGTGCAAAATTTGTTAAAAAGTGGTTATTTCTAAATTAAACCTAACCCTAGTAGATATGAAAAACGTGCAGCAGCAGCATTATTAGGAGACCTCAGCCACCTAACCTAACAGCTCTACCTAACTTCCTAGGGGGTTAACCCTGGTATATTAAACAGAAAGAACTTGCTATGATATGGTGTAATTTTAAGTTTTTTGTGGACGTGAGAGCAGCCATCCATACTGAACACTTCTTAAGCAGACACATGGATGATCAAGTGTATTTTAAGAGGTAAGTCATCCAAATATTTTACGGACAAATAGCGGGGGTTCATAATCTTCACGGTATCCATCACTTCTATGTTCCATATCTATAAATACTATATTATCACTTGTCTGTAAAACATAAGATATGGGGTCCACCCTGTTAATAAATAAGTACGTAAAATTATTTATTATTAACAGAATTAACAGCCTATTAACCAATGCTACTGACCCATACATCTCGCTAGAAATAATTGCACATCACCAATTTAATATAAAAAAAATTCACAGATGAAAATCAATCACATGTTAAGTTACCTGCCATGTAATGTACTACTACAGGCCAGGACCAGGTGTGTGTGGTTCAGGAGGCAGGTGCTCGTCTTACCTTCCTCCGCAAAGTCGTCCGGCATGATAACGTCGTCCTCCATGGTGACCTAATACCATTCGATAACGACCTTGTTATTACGAATGACTAACAATTGAGCTGAGGGTGATACCTTGCTGTAAGCCTCACGCACAAGACAGGACTGACCATCGCACCATGTTGCCTCACTCTCCCAGCCAATCAACATGCACACCCCACTCCCAGTTCACCAATCACAGCCACCGTCACCATCACGCGATATGACATCACAGTCGTGACGTACCACCAAAACACAGAGAGACCCAAGAGACAGAGTGATGATGACGATCATATGCGTACGATAAAGCAACACATGGTTTCAACACCCATATGTACTGTACATCTGTATTTCAACTTTACTCAACACATGTCTTTTAGTATTTAACTCTACTCAACATACAGTATGTGAATTTTTTAAATTATATAGTCAAAATATGTTTTAAATAAGTAATATAAAATACACATTATACACCGTCGAACATTTGTATAATGAGCATGAATTTATAATAAACGTATTTTGATATAATTCGTTTTGAATATGAATATAAGACTGCAATTTTTCGAGTGAACTGCATGCGCTGGGAATGTTGTACTGTACCCAAATACAACAACTTTTCAACAGGGGTATGATAGCCAGTGAACCATTAAAACTAACGCAGCAGCAAGATAATAACAAACGTTATCTACCTTGGCAGGATGCTGCTGGGCTAAACACAAAGGAATATAATGTAGATAATGACTAATATTACAGTTATTCTTAAATGGACGCTAATAATATACCGAAGATTATCCAAACAACTATTTTATTTGTTGAACATGCATGCTGTATTTTATATATATATATATATATATATATATATATATATATATATATATATATATATATATATATATATATATATATATATATATATATATATATATATATATATATATATATATATATGCTGATAACCACAAGGAAAGAAGAAAGAAGAATTACACGAAAGCGCTTGGGAACTTCGTGTTTTCTTCTTTCCTTGTGGTTATCAGCATATACCTAGATCATTGCACCTACAGTGATTTACTTGCATATATATATATATATATATATATATATATATATATATATATATATATATATATATATATATATATATATATATATATATATATATATATATATACAGGTATACTGTTGGGTATGGGATGTTAGGGTTCACACTCAGGATGGGATGGAGAAAGGAAACTCACAATGTGCTCTCTGTATACATGTTGTGTTGGATGTACAATGCAGCTTGGTGCTGGGAAGTGGCAGCGTGGTTACAAACGTGATGTAGAGAGAGCTGGTTGGTGAGGGCGCTCAGAGGAGGACAGCTTGTGGGTCGCCATGCTCGCCGGCGGGACTAAACAATAAGACACACCCCCTCCCCTTCCTTAGCCATCTCACTAATGTTGACGCAGCTGAGCAAACAAATAACCATTTCGCTACTATATGCCAGACGCTCCCCCGGCTTGACACAACCACTCTCCCTGCTTACTTACCAGCCCCCCTTCCCACTGACTTAGTAGAAGAATTTCAAGTAGCAAAACGCCTGGACAAACTAAAATTAAAACGCTCTACCACCCCCATTGACTTACCAATGAAACTCTTCAAGGAGTTCTCCCCGGAGCTTGCTAAACCCCTATGCTCCATCATCAATGCTTCTCTCAGTCAAGCCAGATGCCCAGCTGACTGGAAGACCTCTTATGTATCACCAGTGCCCAAGTCAACCAGCCCACAATCCTTAAATCAGCTACGACCTATTGCAATCACCCCAATACCCAGCCTAATCTGTGAAAGTTTTGTGTTCGACTGGGCTTATGCTGATATTGCAGGAGTCGTAGACCCTCAGCAATTTGGCAACATGAAAACTTCCTCCACCACTCACTGTCTTGTCAGCTTTCTCGATTACATATACCGCCATCTCGAGAAACGAAAAACGTCTGTAGCTGTCGCCTTCATTGATTTCACTAAAGCATTCGACCTAGTCGACCACAATATAATCATCAACAAAGCTATTGACCTCGGGCTTCGGAGAAGTCTTATACCATGGCTTACAGACTTCCTCAGTGACCGACGCCAAGCTGTACGCTTCCGAGGGGCTGTCTCCACCTTTCAGTCACTCACCTGTGGCGTCCCCCAAGGCACCAAGATGGGACCACTCTGCTTCCTTATGCTCATCAATGATGCCCTAAGAGAAACCCCTGCTCGCTGGAAATATGTCGACGACTCCACCATTGGGATCAGCGTCAACAATTCTGCTCCCAACTATACCGCCCTTCAGGATTTATTGAACAGTCTCCAAAACTGGGCCACCAACAACCATGTCACCATCAACCATACCAAGACCATGGTTATGCACATCAACCTCTTCTCGACATTGTCCCACCTCCTTCCATTACTCTAGGTCCGAACACACTCCAGGTTGTAGATTCCACGAAGCTCCTCGGCGTCACCATAGACAACAAACTAAATTGGAAACCACACGTCAGTGAAGTTGTCAAATCCTCCAGTTTCCGTCTCCACCTCCTCCGCCGACTCAAGTCCCTCGGAGTTCCTGCACCCGAGCTCCTCAGTGTTTACACAACATTCATACTTCCCAAGCTCACATATGCCTCCCCCACCTGGTCTTCCTCCCTAAATGCCGCACAACGTAAACACCTAGAAAAAGTGCAAAAGAGGGCATGCAAGATTATTCTCTCCCCTTCCTACTCCACATATCAAGAAGCGCTCAACACACTGACCCTTTCGACTCTCACTGACCATCACCACGACCTCATTGCAAATTTGGTAAGAAGCTTCTACACCATCCTCGACACCGGCTCCTACTACCACCTGAGATCCCTAGCCCGAGAATTGCTGTTCGACACCACAACCGCATCCAGCCCATACGTGCACGAACTGATCGCTATAAGAACAGCCCAGTCCCAACCATTGTAAAAATTATCAATAACTTGTAATAGACCAGTGTATTCACTCCCAGTAAACACTACTCCTTGCACTGTCACTATGTTGAAATGCACTGTAGTTTGAGCTTTTCCCCATCTAGTTATTATATATCTTATTTATATCACTTATGTTACTTGTATATTATTTGTAATTCGAAACCCATTCCCCAAATATGTAACTGTATATTTTCAGCCTTCTGGCTGCCAAGTTCTTTCAATAAACCGTTAATTATTATTATTATTATTATTAAACACACACACACACATACCATGGCTTACAAACTTCCTCAGTAACCGACGCCAAGCTGTACGCTTCCGAGGGGCTGTCTCCACCTTTCAGTCACTCACCTGTGGCGTCCCCCAAGGCACCAAGATGGGACCACTATGCTTCCTCACGCTTATCAATGATGCCCTAAGAGAAACCTTTGCTCGCTGTAAATATGTTGAAGACTCAACCATTGGTATCAGCGTCAACAATTCTGCTCCCGACTATACCGCCCTTCAAGATTTATTGAACAGTCTCCAAAACTGGGCCACCAACAAACACGTCACCGTCAACCATACCAAGACCAAGACCTCTCCTCCGACGTTGTCCCACCCCCTTTCATTTCTTTAGGTTGCAACACACTCCAGGTTGTAGATTCCACTAAGCACCTCTGCGTCACCATAGACATCTTCACACGTCAGTGAAGTTGTCAAATCCTCCAACTTCCACCTCCTCCGCCGACTCAAGTCCCTCGGAGTTCCTGCATCCGAGCTCCTCAGTGTTTACTCAACATTCATACTTCCCAAGCTCACGTATGCCTCCCCTACCTGGTCTTCCTCCCTAAATGCCACACAACGTAAACACCTAGAAAAAGTGCAAAAGAGGGCATGCAAGATTATTCTCTCCCCTTCCTACTCCACATATCAAGAAGCGCTCAACACACTGACCCTCTCGGCTCTCACTGACCATCACCAAGACCTCATCTGCAAATTTGGTGAGAAGCTTCTGCACCATCCTCGACACTGGCTCCTACTACCACAAGATCTCTCGTCCGAGAATTGCTGTTCGACACCACAACCGCATCCAGCCCATACGAGCACGAACTGATCGCTATAAGAACAGCCCAGTCCCAACCATTGTAAAAATTATCAATAACTTGTAATCAACCAGTGTATTCACTCCCAGTCAATCTTACTTTTTGCACTGTCACTATTTTGAAATGCCCTGTAGTTTGAGCTTCTCCCCACCTAATTATTATATATCACATTTGTATCACTTAATCACTTATGTTACTTGTATATTATTTGAAAATCAAGTGACCCATTCCGCAATTATGTAACTGTATATTTTCAGTCTTACGGCTGCCAAGCTCTTTCAATAAACTGTGAATTATTATTATTATTATTACACACACACACACACACACACACACACACACACACTCGCGCAGTCCGCCACTACAGCAAAATTCAGCCCAGAAGAGCCCGCACTGATAGATATAAGAACAGCACCATCCCATCTATTGTTAAAATAATAAACAACTCCTGATTTATGTACTGTACAGCCCTGTAAATGTATTGAACGCATATTATATCATCATGTCTAAATCAAATGTAAGTCTGTATATTTTCAGCCACCGGCTGCAACTCTATTAATAAACCGTTTATTATTATTACACACACACACACACACACACACACACACACTATACATGACATGATTGGATAAAACACATTTTACATATACACTGTCAATAGTAAACTGACAATAAGATGCAAAGACACCGATGAGCAGCACCAAAAACACATATAAATTAAATGAAAGATAGATAAACAGACGAATACACAAATTAACAGCCAGAGAGAGAGAGAGAGAGAGAGAGAGAGAGAGAGAGAGAGAGAGAATGGCTGTAGAGGATCGACCAAGGACAAAAATACCCCAGGCACACAAACACCCTTATGTAGGGCGCCGTCTTACTGGTACTACAGCGTAGGTAGGGGAAGGGAGGAGGGGTGATGGAGGGGGAAGGGAGGAAGGGTGATGGAGGGGGAAGGGAGGAAGGGTGATGGGAAGTGGAAGGGAGGAGCCTGGGAGGAGAATGAGAAGAGGAATGGTGGGATGGGAAGTGTAGGGAGGAAGGAGGGGAAGAAATGAGCGAGGAGAGGAGGGAGGGGGATTATAAAGAGGTGAGAGGTG